TTCTTCCGAACGCACCCTCCTGTCCGGTTCTCCAGGGCCAAACCAGAGCCTGCTCGGGCGCTTCTCCCAAGGGGGCACGTGGGGAAAATCTGGGGGGCTGGACCCCTCCCCAAGGGCGGCTCCTCTTCCGCTTTATAGGGGCCGCGGACCCAGCAACGCCGGGCCAGTTAAGGGACAGCGGGACGGAGGAGAGGGGATATATGGAGAAAAGGACCCGAGAGGAAGGAGACGGGAGGGGAGTGACGAGTAGTAGTTAGGTTGGGGGAGGTTGGGGGGAGCCCCCTTGCCAGGGGGGGGGCCCTGTGGCCTCTTGTCTGCATGAGCCACAAGCAGCCCTGGGATGAGAGGGGCCACGGAACCAGCTTCCTCTCCTCTGTGGCCGCCTTGCGGTGAGACACTCTGGAGGCCGACGTTTTCCTCCTCCTCCTCCTCCTCCGTGTAGGAGAAGCCAAGGAACCACCCCGGAGTCAGGAGGGAGGGGGATCCCCGCTTTCCAATGGGCAATGCTGTCTTTTCCCTGTCCCCGGGGCCTCCCCCGTCTCTCCTCGTCCTCCCGGGCCACCTACGTCCTTAGCGCTGCGGCACAGCACCATGTAGCGGCAGGCCCGGCGCCACTGGATGTGGCCCATGGTGGAGGAGACCAGGGCGTTTTTGAGGAAGAAGAGGGTGCCGTTGTAGTCCAGGATGAAGACGTGGTCCTTGGTGGGCAAGAACTTCCGGTAGCCGTGCGAGAGGAGCGGCGCCACCGTCTTGCTGACAACGTGCCGCCGGCCGCTGAACATCTGGAAGTACAAGCCCTTGGTGTCTGTGGGACAGAGAGGCCCAAGGGCGGGGAAATTGGGTCCGTCTGGAGGAGCCGACTGGGCAAGAGCGGGGTAGGGTGGTGGTGGGGGCCGGGGAAGTGAGGCCACGGCGGTCCACGTCCCTCGTCCCGCGTGCGACGGGACGCCCGGTTCTTGTCCTTCCCTGCCCTCCGCTTCACCAACGGGCTCTACTCACAGTTGAGGATGGCCGATCTCTTCCACGGCCGGCTTCCCCCCGAGTTCTCATCCCGCAAGCGAGGGGAGAGTCGGCGGCAGATGCGCTGCCAGAGCCCCTCGCTGTCGCAAACCTCGTAGAAGTACCGGCAGGTCTGGCCCAGAGCCACCAGGTCCCTCACTGGCAGGAAGGAGATGATGTAGTACAACTGGAAGGACAGAGAGAGAGAGAGAGAGCGACGGTGGGAGGGGAGGGGGATCGGTCAGGAGAGCTCCCCAAGGTCCGGCCTTCCTATCCTCCACCCCGCACCCCCCGATTTCCTCCGCCCAGGCCGACCCACCAGTTCAGGAGGGAAGAGCTGGATGGAGGCAGATGCTCC